TGACCGTTGAAACAATTAACTCAAAAAATTCCATTTTTTCTTCCCGGTCTGAGTGTGGAGTCTGCGAACTTGTAGTCATGTGGCAGTGTGGCTGTGAGTCTTTGTCCGTCGATGTCGAGAGTCAAGACTGGTGGTGCAATAGCTGGACTGGAGGCTGGTATGCTGCATGTTGGAGCTTTGTGCCTTCCTCCCTGTCTGCCGGTCTATGTTCTTACAGGTATTAGATTAAAAATCTTGCCTTGCTATTTCTATTTGCCTATTTCTTATTGGCTACTTGGCTTGCTAGTGCTTGTGCTATTGCCTGTTGTCACTGCAGTTATGGTGCCTGTATTTGTGTATTGTGATTTGTGAATTGTGATTTGAGAATTTAGGGTTTTAGCATTTTAGGAAATTAGGGATAAATGAAAAAAAATTAATGATGAAGATGCTCATAATTTTGAATTGATTTGTGTATTGTGAATTGAGAATTTAGGGTTTTAGGAAATCAGGAATAAGTGAAAAAATTCGACTATTATAACGGTTGATTGTCAACGGTCATTGGTGAACGGTCACCGCTCTAACTGAACCAAAATGCTGGATTCGCCTCCGAGAACCTGTCAACTTAGAAAGCCACTAAGTTGTTAACCCCTGGGTCAACGATAGCTGATTGTCGACATTGGTCAACATCCACCCGATGTTGGGTCCGTCACTGCTTGTGTAGACCACTATTTTTATTTGTATCCGACACTCGAATAGTCGAATGTAAATAATTTACCGTCCTTTATAGTTTATCTCATGTTTAGAAGATTAAGCATGTCGCTAAATATAAAATCTTAAATGAACTCATCTGCCTTGTAGGAGTTTTTGTTCTAAATGAATAATATTATTCCAAAAAAAATTAAAAAAAATAAAGAAATAAACATTAGGGGATAAAAGATCACGATAGTCTATGTCCTGAATTATTGACGATTACTGATAAATCCTAGATTGCAATAAATAAGATTGATTTTTTTTTCCCCCAATTCCTATGCATTTGTTACTCATTTGCTTGTCCCCTGTTTAAGATACGTTTCCCAATGAACTCTTTATTAGGAGAATTATGTTGGTTGTATAGAAGGCAACCATCGAAGGCAGTGCCAGAAGATGATTTGAATGAAAAAATTAATTGAATTTTAAATCGTTAAATGATAAAATATCACGTGATATTAAGAACTCTCCCAAATTTGGAATTTCTTGAAAGAGTTAATGGCCTCTTTTATTTGCACATATACCCAGGGACGGACGCAGACAATTAAAGGTGGGGGGCACAATCGAACTT